GAGGGTTGAGGGGTGGGTGGGTGCTGGGGCTCCAGCTGTAGCTGCCCTGGCCACTGGGAATTGTCATTTCGGTCATTGTCCCACTGCGCTGGCGCCCCCGTGCTGGACGCCCCGTCTCCCTGGAGCCTCAGCTCAGCACCTGTTTCTCCATCCCAGCTGCCTCTGAGGTGTCCCCAGGGCAGGGAAATGACAAGTGCAAGGTGTGGACTCCCCATAGTGCCACATAAACTACGGATCGCCAGAGGTGACAGAAAGACACACTGAGGAGACAGCCTCTTACCTTATAGGGCATAGACTCAAAGAAGATGGACGTGGCCGAGATCTTCTTCTTGCCGGTCATGAACCCGTGGGTCAGGTGGCCCCCATCAGGCAGGTCCAGGCCCATGATGCGCCCGTGGGGCTCCACCAGGGCCGCGTACACCGCGAAGTTTGCAGGGGAGCCTGGATCGGGCAACCAGACGAGACTGGGTCATGTCTACCCAGGATGCGCCGAGCAGCACCGGGATGCTTAGCTGCCAGGGGTTCACCCGGGAGAGGTGAGGAAAGGCCTGGCCCTCCTCCTGAGCCCCTGGGGGCGCTCCTGCACCAGCCCCCTTCAGAGCCAGTGTGGGGAATTTCAGAGACAGGGCACGGTTGGGAGGGGCTCAGAGCCAGCCCGAGAGCGTTGGAGGAGGACCTGCCCACCCAGGAGGGCTCGGCCAATTTCTTACTTTACTTTACGGGCATTCCTTCCCAGGCCTTGTCTCAGTGAACACAGCCCTGGGGGCTGGCGTGAAGGGGGTGTACAGGCCCACCTGGATGAGGCAATCACCTGAGTAGGGCTGGACGTTGACCCCCCAGCACTGAGGGTCCAGGTTATAGGCCTGCAGGGCCCGCTTCTGACAGAGGGTCTCCAACTCATCGATAAACTCCGTCCCGCCGTAATACCTGCAGGAGGAAGCAGGAGGCTCACACCAACTCGGGCCTCAACCCTCTGCCGTGTAGAGGCAAAGAAACTTGGGGGCGAGACAGAACACCAGCGGGGGGAAGGAACAAGACAACTTGTTCCGACGCAGATCCTGAAACCAGCGCAATGAACATTCCCACCAGCCCTCCAGTGTCCCGGAGACCACGCCACCAGCGATCCGGAGGGAGTATGGCCTCCTCTGTAGAGAGGGGATTCCAGCCTTACAAAGAGAAAGACCCCGGCGCCCGCTACAGCACAGAAGAACTTTGAGGCCGTGGTGCTCAGTGAAAGAAGCCAGTCGTGAGGCCAGACTGCTGGTTCCACTTCTTCACTCACTCGCTTATTCACTCATTCATTTGTACTGCTGGAGGGCACATGTGCTTGCCAGAGAGAGAGAGAGAGACAGACAGACAACCGCTCTCCCCAACAGGGAGGGGTCATGCTGCAGTCCTCTTTCCCCCTCAATCCCATTAGGACTTCAGGTATGTGCGCACACACACGTGCCTGGTATGACTCTCAAGCCACTGCAGCCAGGACTCAAACTGCAGCTCAACCATGTGGGACTAACCACGTGGCTTCCTGCGCACCCGGCTTAACTGCTGTGCGAAGGGTCTGGACCTCCACTTCTTCAAGGTTTCTCCCCCCTGGCCAGCCCGATAGCCTAGTGCTTAAGGGAACTAAATTCCGCATGGCTGACCATGGTTTGAACCCCATCCTGGGCACCTTGAAAAGATGCTGTGAGTGTGTGCATGCCTGCCCCACACCCCAGTATCACAGAGAAGTGGACCACGGCCTGCAGAGTGACCATGCCCACCGAGGGAACTTCCTCCTCTGTCTCTCTCTGGAGAGCATACGTACTCATCGGCAATTAAAGTAAATAAGGACGCTCCGTTCTGTTTTCCTTAATGGCTGTACCATGTTACATTCCTTCTTGTTTTTTCTTATTTTGGAGAGGTTTTCGCTATAGAGCGCGTGTGCTCGCCAGAAAGACAGACAGAGACAGAGAGACAGAAAGCGAGAAATCACCCCCCGGGGTGGGGGGTTGCCACGCCCCAATCCCTTACCCTCCGTCTCCTCCGTTCTCCTCTCGGGATCTTAGGCACGCTCGCACACGCACCCAGTGTGAGTTTAAGCCACCAGGTCTGGGACTTGAACCGCAGTCGACTACATGGGAGTCTAGCGACATAGCCATTACGCTAACTGCTGCTCCCTGTACTATGTTATCTGTTACATTTCTACCAAGAGTCCCAAGGGTTTCAATCTCTCTATATCTTTACCAACCTTTAAAAATAAAAATTGCACGTATTTACACTAGTGTGATATTTTGATATATGTATACATTGTGAAATTGTCAAATCAAGCTAATTAACATATCCACCAACTCCTAAAATTTTGCTGTGATGAGAACATTAAAAAAATCTACTCTTAGCAGGGCCAGCAGGTGGCGTAGTGGTTAAGCCATTGGGGTCCCAAATAGTCGACTCCAGTTTGAGTCTGGGACCCGGCAGCTTGAAAATCACAGCAGGCGCGTGTATAGACATGTTCAAAATCCCAGGACGAGAACGGAGGAGAAAGGGTTGTGGTGTGGCCATCACCCAAGGGGTATTAAATCAATACCATATGTTGTGACTAGTGCCGCAGTGAAAAGGGGGTGCAGATGTTCCTTTGACATACTGATTGTATTTCCTTTCCATATGTCCCCAGAAGGGGGCTGGCTGGGCAATATGGTAGCTCTGTTTTTACCTTTTTCTTTTTTTTGTCGAGTTTTTGTCTTAGGGATCATGTGCTTGCCTGAAGAGACAGAGACAGTGACAGGAAAATGAAAAATCACTCCCCGGGAGGATGGCCACGCTGTAATCACTCTCCTCCACTCTCCTCCTGGGGTCTTGGGCACATATACAAACACACCCAATGTGAGTTTCAAGCCACTGCTGGCCCGAGTCTACTTCTGTTTGTGGAAATGGCGGTACTAATGTACATCCTCACCAATACTACGGAAGGGCTCCCTTTTCCCTGCACCCTCACCCACACTTATCTTTTGTCTTTCTGGTCAAAGTCATCCTAACAGGTGTAGGTGGTAACTCACTGCGGCTTCAAGCTACACTTTCCTGATGACTACTGGTGTTGAACATTTCTCTATTTACCTGCTGACCGTCGGAATGGTTTCTTTTGAAAAATGTCCATTCTGGTCCTTTGCCCATTTTCAAATCCAGTGATTTGTTTCTTTACTATAGATGTTTTGAGTTCCTTAAATATTTGGAATATTAACTCATTAGATGTATATTTTACAACATTTGCTCCTGGGCTGGCAGGTGGTGTAGTGGTTAGAGGCTCTGGACTCCCACATGACCAATCATGACTTGAGTCCTGGACCTGGTGGCTTGCTTTCTCGCTTCCCCTCTCTGTCTCTCTGTCTGTCAAATTCAATAATTATAATAATAATAACGGTAAATAAAGTTATAAACAATTTTCTCTCACTCTATAGGCTCCCTCTTCATTCATTTCCTTTGTTCAGAAAGGAAAGTTCAGAGGCTTCTTAGTTTGAAGCAGTCCTATTGCCTATTTTTTTTAATTGCTAGAGGGCACATGTGTTCGCCAGAAAGAGAGAAAGAGACAGGAAGGGGAGAAAGTACCTGCATTAGAAAGTGGTCATGCTGGGACCAGCAGGTGGCATGGTGGTTAAGGTGCTGGATTCACACATGGCTGACTGAGGTTCAAGTCCTGGACCTGGTGGCTTGCTTTCTCACTTTCCCTCTTTCTCTTTCTCTCTGTGTCTCTATTTGGTCAAATTAAAATAAATGAATGAATAAAATTACAAAAAAAATAATGTGGTCATGGCCGCAATCCCTTTTCTCCATCTTGTCAAGATTTCGAGCATACACACACATGTAAAAGAATGGGGTCATGCCGCAATCCCTTTTCTCCATATTGTCAAGATTTCGAGCATACACACACATGTATGTGCCTTGTATGTTTCCCAAGTCTCCAGGGCCAGAATTCAAACTGTGGTTGGTCAGATGGGATCCAGCACCCTAAACCACTGGCTACAGGCTAGCCTCTATCTGTCCATTTTTGCTTAGGAGGTCATATCTTAAAAAAAAAAACTTTAAAAAGAAAAATATGAGGGACCAGCAGTTAATGTAATGGCTATGTCGCTGGACTCCCACGTAGTCGACCATGGTTCACGTCCCGGACCCGGTGGCTTAAAACTCACGCCGGGCGCGTGTGCATGCGTGCCCAAGATCCCAAGAGGAGAATGGACGGTTCCGGGACTTGAACTGCGTTCAACTGCATGGGAGTCCAGTGACATAGCCATTATGCTAACTGCTGGTCCCGAGGGTTTTTTTTTTTTTGATAGTGACCAAAAATGGGTATGACGTGATATCTCACATATGTTGCTACGGTTTTCATCTGCATTTATCAAAAGACTAGTAATATTGAACATCTTTTCCTATTCATGTTGGCTGTGAGTTATTGTTTAATGGACAGGTTTTCATCTTTTTTTTTCCTTTTTTTTTTTGGAAAGGTTTTTGCCATATGACGCATGCGCTCGCCAGACAGACAGACAGAGACAAAGAGACAGAAAGTGAGAAATCACCCCCCAGAGGGATGGCCACACCGCAATCCCTTCTCCTCCATTCTCCTCTCGGGATCTTGGGCACGCACGCACATGCGCCTGGCGTGAGTTCTAAGCCACCGGGTCCGGGACGTGAACCATGGTTGACTACATGAGAGTCCAGCGACATAGCCATTACATTAACAGCTGGTCCCTCATTTTTTTCTTTTTAAAGTTTTGCTATAGAGCATGTGTGCTTGCCAGAGGGGGCGGGGAATAAAAAAATTACTCCCCAAGGGGGATGGACATGATGCAATCCTCTCTCCGGTCACCTCTTAGGGTTTGGGGTACACATGCACATATTCCTGTGTGATTTTTTTCTTCCATGTTTTGGGAAGAATTATTTATTTATTACTATTATTATTTTTTAACTTAACCAGAGACACGGAAAGTGAGAAAGCGAGTTGCCAGGTCTGGGACTTTAACCACAGTTAGCCATGTGGGAGTCCACAGTCTCAACCACTGCGTCACCTGTTGGCCCCCTGGTAAGGAATCTTCAAGCCACTGAGTCTGGGACTTGAACCACGCAGTGTGGACCATGTGGGATACAGTGCCTCTCTGGAGAACACGCATGCCTAAAAACTGAAAAAAAACTGAAAATAACACAGCATGGGGAACCAGCAGTTAGCGTAATGGCTATGTCGCTGGACTCCCACGTAGTTGACTGCGGTTCGTGTCCCGGACCTGGTGGCTTAAAACTCACGCTGGGCGCGTGTGTGTGCGTGCCCAAGATCCCGAGAGGAGAATGGAGAAGGGATTGCGGTGTGGCCAGCCCCCCGGGGGGGGATTTTTCGCTTTCTGTCTCTCTGTCTCTCTCTGTCTGTCTGGCGAGCGCACGCGCCCTACGGAAAAAACCCCCAAAAAAAAAAAAAAAAAAAAAAAAAAAACCACAGCATGCCAGCTGCTGTGGCGCAACAGTAACACAACAGTCCCCCCAACAATGAGGCGACGTGGGAAGGTTCCAGGTTCGCATCCCGAGGCCTCCCTGTGCATGCCAGATACAGGTTGCACGAGCCGCACCTGGGGCAGGACAACAGAAAGCCCTTGTCGAGGGTTCCTCTCTGTTTCTCTCTCACGGAAAAACAAAGGGAAACAAAAACCTAAGCTTCATTTTAGGTTTCTATCCAAGTCCTTAACGTTAGATCAGGGTTATTGCCAAATACGAACTCCGAGCATCAGTAATCCAAGTGGGGCCAGCCCTCTAGCTCAGCGGTTAAAGGAGCCGGGTCCCACATGTCTGACTGTGGCTCACGTCTTAGTCCGGGTGGCTTGAAAAGCATGCTGGGTGTATGTGCATGTGCGCCCAAATCCGGGCAGGGAGGAGGGGAGGAGAGGGCTTGCTGTGACTGTGCCCTGGGGGCTGTGTGCTCCCTCGGGCAGTCTCTCGCTCCCACGCTTGCTTCCTCTGGATAGCGCAGGTGCTCTCTGAACATCCCAAACCAACCAAGTTCAATCCAAAGTTAGTTCCAAAAGAAAAATGCATGGGGCCGGCAGGTGGTGTGGTGAAGGGCGCTGGAGTCCCACATGGCAGACCACGGTCCAAGTCCTGGACCTGGCGGCTTGCGTTCTCACTTTCCCTCTCTTTCTCTCTCACTCTGTCCCTCTCTGTTCAAATTAAAATAAATAAATAAATAAAGTTAAATAAAATTAAAAAAGAAACATAAATTCACATTATTAAGAAAATATGAAAATGAGGATAGAGGGCCAGCTGATGGCATGGTGGCTAAGGCAGGTGGATCTCACATGATGACAGTGAGGGTCAAGTCCCAGACCCGGCAGCTTGGACAACCTACTAGGGACATATGTGTGTGCCTAAAATCCTGAAAGGAAAAGTGTAAGAGAAGGGATTGCAGCGTGACTATTTTCCACGGAAGGTGCTTTCTCACTTTTTTCTTTCTCTCTGTCTCTTTAGCAAGTGTATGTGCTCAACAGCAAATTAGAAAAAAGAGCGAGAGAGAGAGAGGAAGAAAGAAAGAAGATACAAACAGAAGGACTAGCAGGGGGCGTGGTGATTAAGGTACTAGACTATTGCATGGTGGACTGTGGTTCAAGTCCCAGACCTGGAGGTTTCCTTTTTCACTCTCTTTCTCTCTTTCTGGTGAAGGTCCATATCATGTTTAAAAAAAGTAATAAATAAAATTAAATAATTATTTGTTTAAAAAGAAAATAAAAGACAATAGTCACCTTTTAAAGAGCCCTTTAACATTAACAAATTATCTAATTATCTATACACTGATTTGAATTTCTAATGGCTGCATTTTACAGTTCAGCTAATTAACATTAAAATTCACAGAAGAGGGGACCAGCAGTTAGTGTAATGGCTATGTCGCCGGATTCCTATGTAGTTGACTGTGGTTCGAGTCCCGGACCTGGTGGCTTAAACTCATGCTGGGCGCCTGTGCATGCGTGCCCAAGATCCCGAGAGGAGAATGGAGGAGAAGGGATTGCGATGTGGCCATCCCCCCTGGGGGGTGATTTCTCGCTTTCTGTCTCTCTGTCTCTCTCTGTCTGTTTGGCGAGCGCATGCGCCCTATAGCAAAAACCTCTCCAAAAAAACAAAAGAAAAAGAAAAAAACCAATTCACAGAAGAGGACCAGCCAGATGGCATGGGGTTAAGGTAGCTGAATCCCACAGGGTCAACTACACACTTCTTTCTCCTTTTTTAAATAATGAATTATTTGATTTTATTATTATTTTAAAATTTGCTATAGGTGCACACATACACTCATGAAAGAGTCAGAGAGAGGGAGAGGGAGAGAGAGAGAGAGAGAGAGAGAGAGAGGGGGAGAGAGAGAGAGAAAGCAATCCGCCAGGTTGAAGACTTGAACCATGGTTGGCCATGTGGGGATCCAGTGCTTTAACTACCATACCACATGCTGGTCCCTGACTGCACATTTCAAATCCCGGACCCAGCAGCTTGGAAAATATACAAGACGTGTGTCCAAAATCCCGAGAGGAGGACACGCTGAGGCGAGGCTATCCGCCCAGGGAGGGTTTCTCACTGTCACTCTCCCAGGGGGTAATTTCTCACTTTCACTGTCCCTGTCTCTCCAACAAGCATGAACACCCTGTGGCAAACTAAAAATTAAAAAAAAAATTTTTTTTTTAAATTATCATGACTTGCCATTAGCCCAAACCTCCACCTCAGTTTCAGAGACATTAAAACATGGGGAAAGGTGCTGTTTGGGGCTGCTGTCACTCAGCAAGTACCCAGTAGACATGAGGACGGTGGCCGACTGCGAAGCCTGACAGTGGACGCAAATTTAGTTCTGATTTTGGTCCAGGATCCAACTCGCGTCCTTCAGTCAGGCTCACTGGCGGTCAGTGGCCACTCCCCCCGGTGTCCGCGTCCTTTCTCATCGGGAACAGAGCTCACAGGGGGGGCAAACGCTGCTGGTGGCCTGTGGGCGTCCAGACCATGCAGGCATCCATGTACCAACTTGGGTTTTTAAAAACTTTGTCAGGGGACCAGCAGTTGGCGTAATGGCTATGTCGCTGGACTCCCACGTAGTTGACCGCGGTTCGAGTCCTGGACCCGGTGGCTTAAACTCACGCCGGGTGCGTGTGAGGGCGTGCCCAAGATCCCGAGAGGACAATGGAGAAGGAATTGCGGTGTGGCCACCTCCCCCTGGGAGGTAATTTCTCGCTTTCTGTCTCTTTGTCTTTCTGGCGAGCACAGGCGCCCTGTAGCAAAAACCTCTCAAAAACAAAAACAAAACACTTTGTCAGAAAGGGCATGCACTGACCAGAGACAGCGAGTGCGTGTGAGAAAGCACTCCCAAGGGTGTGGTCATGCTGCAATGCCTTCTGCTCCACTTCTCCGTCACGCTGGGATTTGGGGCACACAAACACAACCACCCAGAGTGTTTCTCAGGCCTCCAGGGTTGGAATTCAAACCACTCAGTCGGCCATGTGAGATCTGGCTTTTTTTTTTTAATTGTTTATTTAACTTTATTTATTTATTTTAATCTGACCAGAGGGAGAGAGAGAAAGCAAGCTGCCAGGTCCAGGACTCAAACTCATGGTCGGCCATGTGGGAGTCCAGCGCTCCCAACCACCACGCACCTCCCACCGGAGAGGGCTCTCTTACCCTCAGGCTGCAGGGCGCCTTACACTGACACTCTGGACACCTTCCGGAAGCCTCGCCTCCTTACAGCTGCAGGATCCCTATATTCGCTGGAAGGGGCGGAAGCCCAGGAGCTAGCATGGTGTCTCGGATTAGCTCAATCGGAAATCTGAGCAAAAATCATCCACATGTGTGTGGAGCTGGTTTCCAGGACCGCGGGCTCCGCTCCCCGAGGGGGCCATTCCCATACAGACCGCAGCCCCCACAGCACCTGTCCCCGCCCGGCGTCCCCCAGCGAGCACTGCCCTTGCCCAGATGGAGGCCTGACGACAGCCCAGCCCCCTCACGGACTGGCTGCGCGTCTACAACGCAGATCTGCCAAAGGGACTGCTGAGTGAGGCCCTGATGGTGTGCGCCTCACCCAGAGAGGCAGAGGCGGGCGGATCACGGCAGAGGGGTCCTGATGGAACTCCAAGCGCGTCAGCGGAACCCCACGCTGGCGATGGCGCGCCAGTTATGTCAAAGAGCAGGGGTGGGGGAGAGCTCGCTACCGGACGCTGGCCGTTTTCTGGACTTTCCCCAGCGCTTCGACTCTACAGGGCACGGGGCTTCACACCGGGTGGGCCTCGGGAAACGCCCCTACCTCTGGCCGGGGTAGCCCTCCGAGTATTTGTTGTTTAAGCAAGAGCCGAGGGCCTCCAGCACGGCTCGGCTGGCAAAGTTCTCCGAGGCGATGAGCTCCAGGCCAACTCTCTGGCGGTTACTCTCCTTCTTAATGATGTTGTAAACCTTGGGGAAGGAAACACACGTTCGGACGGTTTAGCTTAAAATGCCTGGGGTAGAGGGCAGCACAGCCCTGAGATGCAATGATCTGCCGGGCTACCCCACAGAGGAGGGCTCCGAGTTCGCCCCTGTAGACACCCCTGTGTAGGGAGGGAAGACCCTGCGGGAGGGCTGTCTTTCTGTCTCCATTGCTCCTGGGATAAATAAGAAAACAAGTAAAATAAAAATTTGCTCTTGGGACCAGCAGGTGTCATAAGGGTAATATTGCTGGACTCCCATGTAGTTGAAGGCGGTTCGAGTCCCGGACCCAGTGGCTTAAACTCATGCTGAGTGTGTGCGTGCATGCCCAAGATCCCAAGAGGAGAATGGAGGAGAAGGGACTGTGGTGTGGCCATTCACCCTGGGGCTGATTTCTGAGTTTCTGTCTCTCTTGTCTTTCTGGTGAGTGCACATGCCCTATAGCAAAACCTCTCCACAAACAAACAAACAAACAAAACTCACACCGGGTGTGTGTACATGCGTGCCCAGGATCCCAGGAGGAGGACGGAGGAGAAGAGATTGCGGTGTGGCCATCCCCCGGGGGTGATGTCACTTTCCCTCTCACTGTCTCTGTCTCTCTCTCTGTAGGAAGTAAATGTGCCCTAAGGCAAAAAACCTTTACAAGAAAACAGATAGTGAATATACTGAAAACCGTGGGACTGCGAGGTAAGTGGGTGACGTGCCAGTGACGCTGCTCCAAAATAAGCAAGCAGCCCAGCCTCGTGGCACGGTCGGCAGCAGGCCCACCGGGAAGTCAGATCAATGTGTCAGCTTGGAAAAACATGGGGTGCGGGGCCAGCAGGTGGCATGGTGGTTCAGGATGCTGGACTCCCACATAGCCGATTGCGGTTCGAGTCCTGGACCTGGCAGCTTGCTTTCTCACTTTCCGTCTCTCTCTTTCTCTTACTCTCACCCTCGCTCTTGCCCTGTTCCTCTCGGGTCAAATTGCTAAAAAAAAGAACAGAAAATACGTGGGTGCATGTGCACACGCCCAAGGCCTGAGGGGCTGAGGAGCGGGGAAAGGGGGTCATGGCAAGACCAGCCCCTGCCACGGCGCTTCATCCTCTCTCATGGATGGAAGGGACAGAGGGGCATGCCTGCCCATGCCTGGATGGGGGTATGCTCCCCACGACCGGTGAAGGGCCAGGCCTCCAGGATCTCCCCGTCTCCGCCCCTCCAGGGCACCCCGCACAGCGCTCTGCGTTTGCAGATTCTAGAAACCATGAGATTGAGGGTAAACTTGAAGAAACTTTAGCCACTTCGCAGCCACAATCTCCAAATCCGGCACACTTGCACCAATTCCAGGTGGTCCTTTGCAAAGTTAGTTCGTGACTAGAACTAGAGACTGAAGCAAAGGCCTCCCATTTTAAAACGTGCGTGGACTTGGGAACCAGCAGTTAGCGTAATGGCTATGTCGCTGGACTCCCACGTAGTCGACCACGGTTCATGTCCCGGACCCGGTGGCTTAAAACTCACGCCGGGTGCGTGTGCGTGCGTGTCCAAGATCCCGAGAGGAGAATGGAGGAGAAGGGATTGCGGCGTGACCATCCCCCCTGGGGGGTGATTTCTCGCTTTCTGTCTCTATGTCTCTCTCTGTCTGTCTGGCGAGCGCACGCGCCCTACAGTGAAAATCTCTCCCAAAAAAAAAAACACGTGCGTGGACTTTCTGCTAATCTCACCTCGGTGTCGTTGTCCTTGAGGGGCTGCGCCAGCATCTTATCATGTGAGGACCACACTCCAGCATCCCGGTGGGTCCCGTTGGCTGCAGTCGCCATGGCGCTGGTTCAAAGTTGCCTATAAAAAGGAAAAACGGGTCAGCAGATGGCATAGCGGTTATGATGTTGGACTCCCACATGGCAGACTATGGTTCAAGTCCTAGACCCAGTGGCTTGAAAATCATGCTGGGTGCATATGTGTATGCGCTCAAGATCCTGGGAGGAGAATAGAGGAGACGAGATTGTGGTGTGGCTACCCTCTCTTTGGGGTGATTTCGCACTTTCTCTCTGTCTCCGTCTCACTCCCTCTGGAGAATGCACACATCCAAAACCCTCTAAAAAACAATATGTAGCTTCCAATATGAAATATAGCCAAAGCTAAGGAGCCATTGCAGCACAGTAGTAATCGAAGCCACATGGCCAGCCACGGGTTGTGATCCCCATGTCAGGTGGGAGACCTCAGGTGCACACGTGAGCACCCTTGGATCTGGACGGTGGGTAAACGCTCCATGGCATAACAAGACCCTATAGAAGGTGCTTCTCTCTCGCGCGCTCTCTCATAAAAATAAATAAATAGGGGCCGGCAGGAGGTGACATGGCAGTTAAGGGTGCTGGACTCCCACATGGTCGACCATGGTTCAAGCCCTGGACCAAGCAGGTCGCTTCCTCACTTTCCCTCTCTCTCTGTCCCTCTCTGGTTAAATTAAAATAAATAAATCCATAAATAAATGAAGTTAAATAATTCTTTAAAAAAGATTGCATAAATACATCAATAATTTAGTCAGAGCCGATGCATGGAAATGAAGGTGGCTGGATCCCAGTGTGGTTTGAGTCCTGGACCCAGTGCCTTGAAAAAAATCACGCCAGGCGCATGTGGACATGTGCCTAAAATCCAAAGAGGAGGGCGGAGGAGGAACTGTGCCATGGTCATTCCGGGGGGCGGGGGGTTGATTTTTCACTTTCCCTCTCTCTCAGAGAGCAAGTGTCCTTTAGCAAGCTTTTTATTAAAAAAAAAAAAAACAGTATTTATTTAATTTTATTTATTACTGCTGTAGGACATATATACTCGCTAGAGAGAGATGAGAGAGAGAGAGAAAGTGGGGAAGCCAGCTGCCAAGTCCGGGGCTCAAACCGTGGCCAGTCACGTGGGAATCCATCCACACCTTAACCACTGTTCCGCACACTGCCCCAATAACAAGCTTTAAAAAAATTTGTTTTAGGGAACCAGCAGTTAGCGTAATGGCTATGTTGCTGGACTCCCACGTAGTCGACCGCGGTTCGCGTCTCGGACCCGGCGGCTTAAAACTCACGCCGGGCGCGTGTGCGTGCGTGCCCAAGATCCCGAGAGGAGAATGGAGGAGAAGGGATTGCGGCGTGACCATCCCCCTTGGGGGGTGATTTCTCGCTTTCTGTCTCTATGTCTCTGTCTGTCTGGCGAGCGCACGCGCCCTATAGCGAAAACCTCTCCAAAAAAAAAAAAAAAATTGTTTTAGTCAAGGACCAGCAGGTGGCGTAGAGGCTAAGGCACTAGACTCCCACAAGGTCAACCATAGTTTGAACCCCAGACCTGGTGGCTTGAAAATCATGCCAGTAGGCCAGCAGGTGGCGCGGTAGTTAAAGGTGCTGGACTCCCACACGGCCAACCAAGGTTAGGGTCCCAGACCTGGCTGCTCGCTTCCTCACTTTCCATCTCTCTCTCTCTCGCTCTCTCTTGCTCTGTCACACTCTGACCAAATTAAAATAAATAAATAAATAAATAAATAAGTTACATAAAATAGTTCTTTAAAAGGAAAAAAAGAAAACCTTAGCAGGCATGTACGTGTGAGTGTGCCCAGTATACCAAGAGAATGGAGAAGAAGAGTGGGCGTGGCCACCCTCCCCCACGGGTAAATTCTCACATTCCCTTTCTCTGTCTGTCTCTGGCAACCACCTGTATCCTACAGCAAAAATTAAAATAAAAAAAAAAGGAGTCAAAGTTCATCACAACCTGTTAGTTCTCCCTAAACTCCGAACACATTTCTTTGCCTTTCTGTCAGAAGTGCTTAGTCAGCACGATCATTTTCTATTGCAAAACCACTGCCTAGAACATCTGGTTCCTTTCGGAACTGCGGACGTCAGCTCGTCTTCACCAGTAACAAGATCTGACCCTTCTCCCTCCAGCCTGTCCACCCCAGAACCCTCCTCCCACGGGTGCTGCCCTGGAGACAGGCCTGGGACGATCTCAACTCTTCACGGGTTCAGCTTAAACCCCCAACTAAGCTGCCTTCCCTGAAGACAGGGGCCGAGTGGTACCTTTTTATTTATTTATTTATTGGAGAGGTTTTTGATATAGGGCATGTGAGCTTGCCAGACAGACAGAGAGACAGAAAGCGAGAAATCACCCCCCAGAGGGGATGGTCACGCTGCAATCCCTTCTCCTCCATTCTCCTCTAGGGATCTTGGGCACGCATGCACATGTGCCCGGCGTGAGTTCTAAGCCACCGGGTCCAGGACGCGAACCGCGGTCGACTACGTGGGAGTCCAGCGACATAGCCATTACGCTAACTGCTGGTTCCCCCAAGTGGTTCCTTTTAAAAACCCCCAGAATTCCCAGCACAGCTACACATAAAGTAACATCTTCCAAATGACAGAACAGATGAATTGTTGACTTAAAACAATCCCACCTGTTGGGGCCGGCAGGTGGCGTGGTGGTTAGGGGCGCTGGATTCCCACATGGCCGACTACAGTTCGAGTCCCGGAGCTGGTGGCTTGCTTTCTCACTATCCTTTTTTCTCACTTGCTCTATCCCTTTCTGATCAAAATGAAATAAAGTTAAAAAAATTCTTTTTATTAACTTCATCTATTATTATTTTCCAATTTGACCAGAGAAAGACAAAGAGCGAGGGAAAGTGAGGAAGGAAGCCACCAGGTCCAGGACTTGAACCATGGTTGGTCATGTGGGAGTCCAGGGCCTTTAACCACCCCACCACCTGCTGGTCCCAAAATAATGATTCTTTAAAAACCAACCCCCTCACACACAGTTCCACTGCAGAGAACTGGTGAGTTCTTCCTGACATTCAGTAATTAGTGACTTTTCAAGGGACTTTCCTGGGCTGACCCCTGACTGGACCAGGAGCAGGACGTAGGCTGTGGGGATCAGCTTTCTGGGTGGTAAAGGCACACAAGTGGGGGGCTGGGCCCACAGGGGACGGCCCTGGACTCGTGTCCTGTGACGTCCTTGAGGATGCTGGGCATGCGTGCCTACTAGCCAGGCTGGCTGAGACGGGCAGATGCAGTAGGGGGCCCTCGTGGACTGCTTCTCTCTCTGTCTCTGTCTCTGTCTCTGTCTCTGTCTCTCTCTCTCTGTGAAGGAATAAACAAACTTAAATACAAAAGGTCTCTACTAGGCTCTGAACATAAGTTATCTTATTTTAATCCTAGCAACATGTTTCTTTTAAAACAAATGTACAAGGAAGACTTTTTAAAAAATGTTTATTTACTTCTGAGAGAGACAGAGCTAGCAGGTGGTATGGTGTTTGAGGCACCTGGGCCTCAGATGGCTGACTGCCTGGTTCAAGTCCCAGACCCTGTGACTTGAAAAACACTCCAGGCCCAGTATGCCCAAAACCCTGGGAGGAGGGGGCTAGCAGGTGGCGTAGTGGTTAAGGCGCTAGACTCCCACATGGCCAACTGCAGTTTGAGTCCTGGACCTGGACATTTGACGTCAGGCACATGTGCGTGCATGCCCACAATTCCGGAGAACAGAGGAGAAGCGATTGTGGCGTGGCCATACCTCCTATGGGGGCGTTTCTCACTTTCCCCCACACTGAATCTCTCTGGTGAGTGTACGTGCCCTACGGCAAAAACAAAATGATCCTGAGAGGAGAATGGAGAAGGGATTGTGGTGTGGTCATCCCTGGCGAGGGAGGTGATTTCTCACTTTCCCTCTGTCTCTGTCGCTCCCCAGTGACTACACGCACGCTATAAGCAAATAAACAAAACAAGGGACCAGCAGATGGCATAATAGTCGTGTCACTAGACTACCTAATGGCTGACTGCAGTTACAGTCCCAGACCCAGCAGCTCTAAAACTCACACCGGGCACGTGTGCACACGTGCCCAAAATCTGGAGAGGAGAACACAGGAGAAGGGATCGAGACATGGCCATCCCCTCTGGGGGGTGATTTCTCACTTTCTATCTCTCTGTCTCTCAGGCGAGTGCACAGGTCCTATAACAAAAATCTTTCTTAAAAAATAAAAAAAAAATAGGAAAGAAAGAAAATAAAATGAGGAAGAGCGAGCAAGCACACATGCTCCCTGACCCCAGAGGGTCTTAACACTGCGATCCACCCTCAGCTTCAGCCAGCCTTGGGCTGTGGGCATGTGCATACCTGGTGTGCTCAGGGAGGGCTCTAGATGTGAACCTAGAGCTTGAGTGTCAGCCTCACACGGCACGGGCTGCTGCTGCGCCAGCATCCGGCCCCCAGTAACACTTCCGTGTATTGATGTTTTTCATCTTCGGAGTAGTGAAAGTGAGGCTCGGAAAGTGCTGTATCTGGCGCTGGCTGGTGGCATGCTGGGTAAGGGCACTGGACTCCCACGTGGCCAACGGCACTTCAAGTCCCAGATCTGGCAGCTTGAGTTCTCACTTTTCCTCTCTCTCTCCCTCTCTTGCTCTGTCCCTCTCTGTTCAAATTAAAATGAGTAAATAAAGTTAAATCATTCTTTTTTTAAAAAATCATTGTTCAAAAAAAGAAAAGGAAGTATCTAAGCCCAGAACTGCACAGCAAGTTGGCCATGGGGAGACTTGAAAGCCCCAAAGCACGCACTGCCAGGATCCCACCGAGTTCCTGTGAAAACACACACTTGCGGGGCTGGCAGGGGTCATGGTGGTTAAGGGAACTAGAGTCCCACATGGCCAACCATAGTTCAAGTCCTGGACTTGGTGTCGTGCTTTCTCACTTTCAGCATCATTTGCTAAAGAGGTTGTTCTTTTCCTTCGGGACCCCCCCCCTCTCTCTGATCAAACTAGAATGGTAATTAATGAAGTTAAATGATCCTTTCAAAAAAACGAAAAACAGGGACCCAGCATGTGGCATGA